TATATCCTGAAGAGTTAAAGAATCCATATATATATATATATATATATATTTAACACTAAACATTTTTAACTATATATATATATATATATATATTTGGAACTGAATATATATATTTATATATATATATAATTTTATATATATTAAGTTTTTTAGGGACCCATGTTACAGTTTGTCACTCACTATGGTTAGCCTGGCATTAAAACTTCAATCCTAAGATCTCATTTATTTAGTGAATTTCTCCTCTCTTTCTGCCATACAATTCTTATGATGTTACTTTGGAGAATTTGGTATTGGATCAACTTATGATTCCCTAAGTGATAATTGTCTAGGTCACTCAAGGGATCGAGTTAAATGGTTAAAGCCTATCAATTACAGGTTTTATCATCGATCAAACTCTTTTTGTGGAACAAAATTTATACGAGCATACTTTTTAGATTACTTATCTTTGCACATGATTGTTTCGATAACTTTTTACCTGTTCCCATTATGAAGCTGTTTACGAAATATGAGTGCAACTATAACTTGTGTAGGAAATTGACCTTTTTATTACCAAAACCAAACACTGAAGTTCTTCGCAAGTCCACCTGTTACAAGGCCACATCTCTATGGAATTCTCTTGACAATCATATGCTTGCAATCTCAAGCAAAAGCATATTTAAAAATTTTCTAACACAAAACTTCATACACTTAGTTCAATTTATAGATGAATAATATTTTAATTACCGGTAGTTTATAATTAATTGGGTTAACTTTGAAATTTTTAAATATTCGACCGCACTAGGTTAATTAGGTCAATTAGGTTGATTTTAAATCAAGGTTAATTAATCAAATAAATTAGCAGGTTAATTTTTATATACACGACTATACTAGGTTAACTATTAAATACATGACCACATCAGCTCCGCTGTAATTTTTATCGTGTTTAAATAAATGTTGTTGTTGTTGTTGTTGTCGTCTCAGAGACAAAGCAGTGACCTTCAGCAATAGTTAGAAGTGTTATCCTGTCAGATAACATGGAATCAAATTATTCCAGATGTTGTATCAAATACGCGAGATTCCTTTCATTATTTCATATGAGGACACTAAATGGACAGCTACAGAATTTCCTATGCAAACATTATTTCCTTCTTTTGCAGTCACAGTGTTAGAGGTTTTGTGCAGAATAACTGGGGCATGTATGTCTCAGCATAGTAAGTATTTGTATTCAACTACCTTCCTGTAAGTGTTTTAAATCTGGGGCGTATCCAGGGGTGGTTTGTTCAAACCGCCTAAATTTTCCCTCAGAACGCTGGAAATCATGTTTCTGAAGACCTAATTTTCAAAATCTTGGACCCCTCAGAAGGAGAACAACTCTCCAAACCCCCCTTGACTAAATCCTGGATCTGCCCCAGTAAATACATTCTAGATATCATTACTTATTTAATCAATGAAGTAAAATTAAATGTCGATACAAACCATCATCTTGAATTGCTGACTCCTGGTTTATTTGGTTTCATTTCATTTTCAGTGTGGTGTTCTTAGTGTTGTACTTTGTTTTGATCTGTTGCGAGGGAGTGAGGTGAGTTTTGCTAGAACAAAGTATATTGTATATAATAATTTAGCGTGGTACACACACACACACACACACACAAACAGTTTACTTGTAAAAACCTTAAATTTGTGTTTTTTTTATATCTTTACATACTTACATGTATTATAATTGTGCAGGGTAACTGAAATGAAAAAGAAAAGGTGTTGTGCATAGCAGTCTTTCAAATTTCTTTTTTAATTTAGCCAACAGGGAGTCGTGTGGAGGCATGGGGTGAAAGCAACCAAAAAAATTAGTTCTAAATGTTAGCTGTTGTGATAAAAATGTATGTAGTCATGTTGTCAAGCTTTGTAAATGTATCACCATTTTGTTTTCTTTTGTTTCTGTTTTTTAGGAGGAGCTATCCAGCCAATGTTATTATGCTTTCTATCTTTGTAAGTGTTAATATGAAGTATTATAACATAACCAAAGTAAAGAGTACGTCCACCATTTGCCCATGGGTGTTATAATGCTGCTGACGTGAGCAAATGTAAAGACTAGTTTTCAGTGTGTGCTTGTTTTTTCTGGTCACATAAGATTTGTTAAATAAAAGAAAACTCTCTTGCCACAATGTATCAATATTATGTTTTAAAATGGATGGTAAACACCACAGTGTACACTATTGAGTTATGGATGCAATTGGGAAGTTTGCTAAGCACTCAAGAAGCTAGAGTTGCTCTCAGCTATCACCTCACGTGACTCTTACGCTTCTTTCGTGCTTAACAACCTCCCACATGCATCCATAATTCAATAGTGTACACTGTGGTGTTTACCATTTGTCAAGTGGAGAAAAAAAAAAAAGAATTGCTCCTTATAAGTGATTTTTTCTGAATGATGGAACTTGTTCGCTGTCAAATCTTTGCGTTTGCTCTAGTCTAAGAGTTATTTTCACCAATTGGATATTTACTTTGATTTTCTTCCAGACGTTATCTTTGTCCTACCTTGTTGGAGTGATTTCCAGGTATGAAATTTGCAATTTTTATTCAAAAGGAAAACTTAATTCACAAATCCAAAATTTTCTATTATTTGTGAAAATGTATGACCCTGCATTCATTTTCTGCTTTTCATATAAAATATGGAGGATTCTGATCCTAGGTACATGTATCTCCCTATAATTCATAAGTGAAATTTTCTGAGCTCAATCTCACTAAACATTGCAAGATAAAGATATTTAATCATTGGGTTATTTTTTTATTAATTTACAGACTGAGTTTGTTTTAATCTATGAGTAATGATCTTAAAATTACATGTAGGAATCCATGACCTTGATCAAATAAAATTCAAGACATGATTGTTTCAATGTAGATGTTTTAGATAAAACCTGAAATGTGAAATGAAAGATTTTCATTCTCAAATAGGATACAGTAATTTTGAAATAATTAGCAATGCTGCTCAAGTTGCTTAAATTGAATGCCCTTTCTTGGTACCTCTGGGCCTCAATTTCAATAAAGAATTATGTTTTGGAACTACTATTTGTTCTACATGCTATGATCAATTTTGTACATTAATTATTGATTATTACTTTTGATAATTTTTTTTTTTTACCTTGCAGCTTCCATGAAACCAACATTGTGTTGATCATGATGGGAGTGACCACTGTGAGTAACTGTGGATATCACATTTAATAGGAAAATTTTGCAAATGATCCTTGTGAATACCAGGGAACTAAAATGCAAAGTCTTAGAGACTACTATTACTTTGGGGAGTCAATCAATATTGGTCTGTCTAGGATAAAGTGATTATTGTAAAAGTATTGCTGCCGATATTCCCCCTACCCTCTCCCCCCCTCTTGCATTTGAAGGCAAACTCCTCATTTCCAAGTCCAGCTCCATTATAAGTGGGCCTGAAAGCACACACCCAGATTAACAGTGAATCTAATCATTGAGATTGATTTGTATTGCTGAATTTTTTTTTCAGCTGGTCTGTGCTTCTGTCATGATCTTTGCCTGTCAGACCAAGGTAAGCCTTATTATAATTGTATTATGATAATATGGATTATATTGTAATAATCAATATTAATGATATTGAAAATATAGTAATAATCAATTATTAATGTACAAAATTAATCATAATTTATATGGATAATATTAATTGTGGAATTGCAGCATGCAAGTACACTTTAATACTAACAGCACCCCTAATTTGAGGCTCACACATCTGATTATGTATTACTAATAAAATACCTTTTTCATGTTACACCATGTCTTTTGTTTGAGGAATGAGACCTTCTTCTTCAGTTATTCTTAAGTAAGCTGTGGAATCTTGCTCCTTGTTATGAATTATTTGTTACCAAACTAAATGGATTAAGTTCATGTTATTGACTAGTACAGAGGATACAGTCTAGGTGAGAGTCTAAAAGTTGTTACCATTTTGTTTATTTTTTTCAACAGTATGACTTCACCACATGGGGTGGAGTGTTGTTTTGTGCAGCTCTGGCCATTTTTTTTCTCAGTATCTTCACACCTCTTTGGTTGGCACTTTCAACAACGGTATGTATGATCCTACATATTACGTGTACCTTCAGTTACTGGTTCTGGAAATGGTCAATGGACTGTTAAGATTTTATCTTATCGTAGGATTGACTACTGTACATTTTTCAGCAGCTAGATTTTGTTGAAAAGTAGACGGAGTTGCTTTTTTGCAAATTATATTTGTGAACTTAAAGGTAATTACATGAACATGTTTTCATATTCAGAGTTCTTGCCAAGTTTTTTCATAGGAGGTAAAAAATGAGAAATAGCAGGTATCTTTGTTACCTCCCCCCCCCCCTATGCTGGGGGTGTGCAGGCCACATAGGCCCTCACCAGGGTCCAGGTGCAGGTTTTCCATGTGTGGCCACCATGTTGTCAATTCTGATGTTTCTCAATAAATGCAGGCCATTTTGTTTGGCCCTGAGAAGAATGATAAAGAAACAACGCAGAGGTCATTTTGCAGGATGACTGCAAGGGATGAATTTGTTGAAAAAAGCAGGATTTGTTCAACATATGATGTATTTTCAAACTGGTATCTTGTGATAAATATAACTTTCACAACTAAGGTTGGAAGAAGGCAAATAATACTTTCCCAAAAAAATATAAAAAATAATTGGATAACTTCAGTAAATATTTCAGTCCCGGGTCTCGGTGAAATAGTGGGTAACATTTACTTGAACAGCTGGTAAAAATAACCAGGTACCAGCTCTTGAAAAGACCCTGATATTATGCATTTAAAATTAAGGATACATTTGGTTGCTTTATTGTACAACAGGCTGGAAAGATTGTCATTGGTGGCTTATTGGCATTGGTCTTTGTTGCAGTAAGTAAAATGTTCTTAATTCTGACTTTTGCATTTTTAATCAATTTGAAATTGAGTTTTAAGATAATTTTAAGTCAGACATACAAGTATGACAACCTCATTCAGATATTTTGGTGATGTTAGCAAGTTTTACTGATTGGCAATAGAAGTAAAAGGTGTTTACGCACTTGAAGGAATCCTGGCAACACTGGGGTGTTTTAGTGGCAAATAAACTTTTTTTTTTACTACCATGACAAAGGAGCTCAAGCAAAAAAAGGCACAAAAACCATGAACAAAATCTGAGATCTTAACTCTGACCCCTAAGAGTGCCTAGCTAGCATCTACATGTAATTTCTCCATACAGTCTCACCCAGAATCACATTATAAGGTCACGAGAATAAAGGAAACAATCGCCAACTAAAGAAACTTTGGATCGTTAAATAAATTCTCCTTGTCAGCATCGTAGGAAATGTGTAGAGATCAGTATGGAGAATATACACACTGATGTTAGGGTGTAAAAGATTAACCATTCAATACTCGTTTGTCAACAGTTCCTTGCCTATGACGTGCAACTGGTGATGGGTGGAAAGAAGTACGAGTTGAGTCCAGAAGAGTACATCTTTGCATCCTTGATTCTATACATGGATATCATTCGCATCTTCTTGTTGCTTCTGGCAATATTTGGTCGTGGAAGCAACTGAACCATGTCAGTAACAACTAACTACACCTAAAGGTGTAACTTAAAGCACAAGCCCAAAATACTTTACAAATGGTAAACCATCCTGATATGATTATTATAATCATGAAATAAATTCTTGTCTCTCACTTCAACACATGTCCTTGGTATCAAGTTAAAGTGGAATAATGATATCAATAATATGTTTTAAGTAATATTTTCTAGCCCATTTGATCTTATGGAACAATGTTGATATTCGCTAAAGAATATTATTATATTGTTAATATTGTTAATGTATAACATGATTTAGAAATGTAAGGGATCCCTAATTAACATGATTTGTGTAGAGGTATTTTGTATGTCTACAAGTTGGACAAGATCTAATTAGAAGTGATTTAGTATAATTTCTTAGGGTGTAGAAATGTATAAAATCAAAAACTGTCAACAGATATAAGCAACGTTAATGTCCAAATTTCCTAGAAGGTGCTTTTTTGGCTCACATGATGTTATACGGTTGCCACTGTTATCATCAGACAATAACTCTTTTGTTTGCATGGGTCCTAAGGGGAACAGGTAGATAACAGTGTTAACTGTAACACATCAAATGATTCAACTTAGGGACACACAGAATTCCAGGCTGCACAAAAGCCATTTCCTGTTTCAATGTTTTCTCACATCAAGTATTTCATTTTCATTTATGACAACTCAGTTTAATGTAAAATATAATTTTTGATAATTTAATGATGTTTTATTCCATTGCTGGAGGTTTCCTTCAAGAAAAGCTCAGGGCAAAATTTGAAATTCAGTCAAAGAATTTCTGTCCAAGAGTCATATAAACATCCAAATAATATAATTTGTCAATCAATATTGAATGCTTCAACTTTCCCCCACCCCTAGTCAATCCTTAGGCATTTGAACTTTGAAGATTGGTTGGAACAAATACTTACCCCCTCCCCCCCTCCAGTTAAAGTTGTGTTCAAATGCCTCACCCAACTTTTTTGCAAAAGGCAAGATCACCAAGTGTAACTTTCTACAAATTGCCCAATGTTAAAAACCTGGACCGTGAAGACCTGTTCTTCTGGGCCATTTTTCACCAAAGTTAACTATAATTTATCTTGCATACCACCATATTTGAAGATGTAACACTTGTATTTGGCTGGAAAGACTTGACACTTCCTGTTCAAATTTCCCACCCCAGCCTGGAAAGGTTCAAATTTGCCACCTCCCAGGCATGGAAGATAGTCAAGTGCCAAGTTAAGGGTGGAATAATTAGCACATCTAGAGTAAAGTTGGAACTTGTATGTTCATTTTTTTAAATCTACAAGTAGGAAATGGTTAACTGTGTGTCATTGTGCTAAAATGTTTGTATTAATTATGAGAGTGTGGATGTAAACTGCTCTTTAGATGTAATGACCTATAGAAAATAAATACGTGTCTCATACATGAGAAGAAGTTGTTTTAACATCTTAAATACTAATAAGTTTGTTTGTACCATGTAACATGTGTCTGAAAATATAACAAAGTTTACTGCAATACTATCTCTGTCATGTGTCATCACTGCATTAAGCTGGATAATTTGCGAAAAGATTATTTCTTCTTATGACCCACCAAAGTGATTCAACTGTCTCTTGATGGCAACAATGATGGATGAATCTACACTGTATGTACAGCACTGTATGTATAGTTATTGACCCTCCCACAATGAACAAATTGGAAACAAACATTCCAAACAGACAGTGACACTGTTTTTCAACATCCCAGCTGACAGGAGGTGAGACCATTTTCCTTAATACAAAGCACAGCAAAGGAGTCAAACTCAGACTGGCTTGAAATTTTTGGTTTCCTCTTTGTGCACTTCAGATAATATGATGTCACTCAGTGTAAAAAAATAATAAATTGCTGCCTTGAAATGTAACACTTGATAGTCTTTTAAGAAAAAGAATGTTATCTTTGAATAAGCAATAAAAAGTTTAAGGGACTAATTTCATAGTAATTTCTTAAACTACTTTAAATTTCTTTAATCACTTTAATTTCTTACATTGGCATTTACTTTGAACTGAATTGGATCTGAATAAAATAATTGGCAGTATTTCCTTCGGTTCACATGACTCTTAGCTTTTAGCATGCTATAGGAACCAAAATACACTGCTTGAGGCAATCATTACATCTAAGGGTCAAGCTAAGAGAACTACTAACTAAGAAAAAAGATCTGTTTTCACGAACCAAACTTCTAGCTCAGATGATCATATGTAAAGCACATGATCCCTGCTTAAGAATACACCTTCATCATAAAAGAAGGTTTCCTGCCACCTAAGGAGAAGTGAACTATTGTATTCAGGGAGTACTTTCCAAATTTATACAGTACATTCTCAAGAAAAGGAATTCCCCTCTGAATTAAACACATAGTTCTGAGCATCCAGTATAACAAAGCCATAATAATTTGACTGGGCATGTTAAATCTTGAAAGGCCAAGCTCATCTGCAAGATCATCTCCAATAAAGAGTCTTGATAAACTGCTTGAGGCATTGTAACTGAGATGAAAGGGAGGTTTACTTGCAAATTCCTGTAATAGTGTCTCAGTCAACATCAACGAGTCAGGGTCTGGTTTGCACTGTCGCACTCTTATCATGTTGCACAGTTCCCACTCTTCTTCATAGTTGTTGCATAACATATCACTTGTCATTCCTAGAATGGACAACAACAATAATTCTTGGGATAAATGCTCTGAATCCCTACTACTGTAACATTATTACCAATTTGAAAATGTCTCCTATTACTGCAAAACACCTTGAGCAGACAGAAAAAAGGACCAAGTTCCAAAGATGTTTGTTTCAGAGAGTTGACATTGACTTACTCTCATCAGGTAATTTGGTTATATCAATTAAGTTGAAATTGTAAATCGGCTACTGTAAAGAGTCAAAAAGCTGATGTTTTGAGCGTTAGCCCTTCGTCAGAGCAAATGGAGGAATTGCGGGTCGTGTGTGGGTTTATAAGCAGAAAGTGGAGCTATGCTATTGGCGGAAACATGGGGACAAGAAAAACATGAATAAATTAGTACAATGAAAAGCATTTGTTGATACCTATGGGGTTAAGAGTGTGGATTTGACAGTCAGAAAAACTTTTGTTCAAGAGTTTTGTGGCTTTCCAAGCTACCTAAATGTAAGAAAATTAATTAGGCCACAGATTGCTAAATGCTGCTTAGAATGATTAGGTAGATTTGATCAATTGTATTTACACTAAAATGTACTTACATTTAATTACACTAGAGAAAGAGTTGAATTCATTGAAATTGTACATATCTTTTTTTCTCAGGAGAAAATGCTTTGAATGGTTGTGATCTTTAATGTGATCAGAATTTTTCTAATGCCTCAACTCTCAAGCTCTGATTGTTCTAACTTCCTAACTGCTGCATATTTCCTTGTAAATTAGTTTCAAGAATTTGGTGTTAGATCAAAATAACAAATTCTACCTAATTCATTTAAGTACTCTCATTACCTGTCGACTGGATAATGTACTGTATAGATATTATAGGGAGGAGTTAAACATTGATCACTTCTAGGAGTAAAAATGTTGAGGGAGGAAATGTGTGTTAGAGGCATTTATATATATATATATTTATATATAATTATATATATATATATTACATAAGCTCTGATTGTTCTAACTAAATATATATATATATATTTATTAAAAACTGGATCATTGGATAATGTAATTCAAGACTTTTTATTGGTTTAGCCATTATGGTATACGAGCCAATATACCATAATCTAATATCTGTACATTGTAACATCCGGTTTCTTCTTACAAAATAAAGTCAAGAAGATTTGTCTAATATCCTGGGGGCGTTTTTTAATAAAACAATTATTCCACTCCCGCTTATTGGATATGAGATGATTATAGCCAACGAGATGCGTAGCGCCAAGTTGGCTATCTATCATCTCATATCCAACGCACACTCATGGAATAATTGTTAAATATAATATTTTAAATCTTTCTCTAAATACTAGAAGCATATAACCAAGATAAAATGCTTCTGGTAATACTTAAAAAGTGGCAAGACAACTTTTTGTACCATGTATAGACACTTATGATGCAACATGCATACAAGGGTACTTTACTAATAGCAGTTAAACTAAATGACCAACAACTTCTTTTATTAAATTATGGCCCAATCACTTTTTGTACTTACCCAGATAAAAACCAACATATCTCCACAAAGTTTGGTAACCATCTTTTTCAGCTTTTGACAAAAAAATACCAAGAGTTTCTAGACCATGAATTACAACAGATGAAAAAGTGGACAGTGTACCAGCTAAATCCTCTTGGTTGATTGGACATCCATACTGGAAAAAATGACAAAAGCAGACAAATCATGAGACTAAAGAAAATTGTCAATTATGGAATTATTATTAGTAGTTGATCCAATACCAAATTCTCCAAACTAACACCACAAGAATTGTGTTACAGAGAGTAAGGAAAATTATTGATGAGATCTGATACCAGTCAATCTCTAATGATTGAATAACCAGTCTTTAATCAGGATAAATAGAGTTATAGCCCAATGGATAGTGCGCTGGACTGTTGTGCGGGAGGTTGAGGGTTCGAGCCCCGGCTGGACCAACACTCAAGGTCTTAAAATAATTGAGCAGAATTTGCTACCTTTCTATAACATCAAGAAATGGTTAGATATTCTAGTCTTCTCAGATAGGGACGAATAAATGGAGGTCCCGTCTCCCGTAAGGTTGGGGTAGGAGACGTTAATTTCCCACACACATGATTACTGTGTAATGGATGTCCTCCCCTGGGGTGGGATGGGTGGGAAGGTGGACTAGCTCGAATGGTTTGAATGTTCCCTTCTAGTCCTTCCCCACTGCAAAATTAATGCAGTGAAACTGGAATAAATAAAATTAAAAAATTAAATTAATTATCTTGGAAGTGATTTATATTTCCTTAAAAGGAAGTGATTTATATTTCCTTAAAAGGAAGTGATTTATATTTCCTTAAAAGAAAGTGATTTATATTTCCTTAAAAGGAGCACTTGTTGTCAACAAAAACAACAACTACAACAATTTATTTTCAGTGGTGCACAAGGAAATGTAATTTTGTTGTACCTACTTTTTCAATTTCCCACCCACTGTCACGATGAAGGAGGTGGTGGCGTACAGCAGCATGGAGCAGACGCACTCTCATGCAAGCCCCTTTAATTTCACTCAGTGAACCAAGAACAACAGCCCTCACAAAGAAAAGAGTTTCAAACAGTCTTCGGCGAACATCTCCGTATGGGGAAATGCGTCCCATAGCTGATAACACCTGTTACATAATATTTAAGTAATTAAGTGCTAATGTTACTATTATGTGATAAAATTATATATTAGTCGTATCACTGATGCCTAGTCAAAGAACACGGGGTTTTATGGTGTTTTGGGTAAGTTCCCCTGGTGTGTATGTGTGTTGGGGAAGTGTACATGTGCACAAGGGTTCTACAATGTGTCAAAAAACATAATTATGTTGGTGTCCAGTAAGACCCCATTTGAACTTTTGATCCGTAGCTAGAGATAAAGTAAATATATAATGTACCTTATTTCCAAAGGCTGCGGTGAATGAGGAAACAAGACTACCGTACATGAGAACAAGGCCGGCGAAGACACTGTTTCGAACAAAAACCCGTCTTCCTAATTCACACATTTGCCATTCGACGTTCCAAGAAGGTTCTTGTTCATAGAATTCTATAAATTTCGCGCAATAAGAATCCTTAGTAATTGTTCCCAGTTCTTTGACAGCACTATATAAGTCATGATTTCTCAATGCTTTTTCACCGCGATTTCTCGCCACCTCTGCCACTGCACTATCTGCCAGGGGATCACATTCAAATCTCTTCCTGTTTAACTCATTCTCGCAAAGGGCCGACATGTCAGTTTGTTCTGAATTTTGAGCGTATTTCGAGAAGACCTGGCACTACTATATGCACAAACATCCCGGGTACCCTTGCGAGATAAAATTCAATATGGCGGAGGAGTTGGTCCTCAACCTGTAAAACACTTTAGTTTTACAAAACGTACGCGCTACTGCATTGTTTTATACTTTCCCTGAGCACCACAGTGCAACCTTCAAGATGTTTGCTAAGTTTATGAACAAGAAGGACTTCCATCCAGGCTCTAAGGCTAACATCAAAAGGGTAATTTGGCAACCAGCTCGACATGTACACTAACGCTGTTCTTTCTTTCTTCTCAAACGCACGATACATCCATCTACTATTTATAACTTACGTATACAAACATGTATAAACAGTGTCACTTCTGCCACTGGGATCATTGAGATATAAGTAACCAATCACTTTCGTTATTGGAAACGAACAATGATTCGAACTTATGATCAATATTTAGGACCAAGGCAAGCGAAGATGATCAAGGGTATAAGTGGAATTCGTCGCTAGTTTTTTTGTAATAAATTGGTCGATTTTTCTAGAGTGACTTCAAGAAAGTTAATTGCTTTGTAACAAAATTACTTCTGATTTGTTTTTTGTTTGTTTGTTTTGTGTTGTTGTTTTGTTTTTTGTTTTTTTTTTTATCACACATTGCTAAAAATCTGTCTTTCACTGTAACTTCCCACTGATCAAAGCGATCGATTTTATGTAAGATATTAGGAAATGAAAGTTTGTAAGTAACTTCATGAATCTGGTCTGGTTAATTTTTGGCTGATCCTTTCATAATTTTATAATGGTCTGTTCAGAAATTTCACATTGCACATAAATTGGGTTTTTGTAACTCTCTTTGTAATAGGTCTGGATGGCACATAAATTGGGTTTTTGTAACTCCCTTTGTAATAGGTCTGGATGGCAGAACAAAAGCTACTTGCTTCTCAGCAGAAAGAAAAGGAACTAGAGCTTCAATACAATAAGGAACAAGAGAGATTCAAAAACAGGTACATGGTTTAGTTAGAAAAAGTAAATTATTAGATATCTATCAGAAACTCTGCTGAGTGTTCTCAAATAAAAAATAAACAGTGATCACCTGCTGGATTTTTGGCCAGTGATCACTTAGTTTTGCATATTGCACCCTAGTTTTGATTACACTTTTACAATCATTTGATATTGGATGTTATCTTTGAGCCCCCTCACTTCAAATTTCCACCAGCAGTGTGAATTCTTAACTACAACCTTGGAGTTGTGCAGGTAAACTTCAGTGCCTAACTGTCTAAACTGATAACTTATTTTTTTTCTAGGCAAGCCATCAGTAATGATGAAAGAATCAAGTCTGGTTTGGATTTCTTATATGATGCCCCTCCTGGTTTTAACAAAGGTTACTGTTTTGTGAAATGTCATTGTAGAGTAAGATATAGCACAAGCAGTCTTTACAAAGGTAGTCAACTTTAGAACTAGCTACCAGAAAACTAATTATAACATAACCAAAGTAAAGCGCGCGCTCTGATTGGTCAATTTAGCGTCCCCCATTTGCCCATGGGTGTACGCTGCTGACGTGAGCAAGTGCAAAGACTATTTTTCCGCGCGCGCTTGTTTTTTCTGGTCGCGTAAGATTTGTTAAATAAAAGGGAACTCTTTAGCTACAATGTATCAATGTTATGTCATAAAACAAATGGTAAACACCACAGCATACACTATTGAGTTATGGATGCACTTGGGAGGTTTGCTAAGCACTCAAGAAGCTAGAGTCGCTCTCGGCTATCGCCTCAAGTGACTCTTACGCTTCTTTCGTGCTTAGCAACCTCCCGCGTGCATCCATAACTCAATAGTGTACGCTGTGGTGTTTACCATTTGTTAAAGGGATTCTAATGTTTTCCTTTTTTGGGCAATAGCTGTGAAATTTACCACAAGTAGTAACTGTAGTGCTGAAGAAAGGGAGAACACTGGGTTTTATTTGGATAAACTTGTGAAACATTAGAACTGTTTGAAATCATTAATCTTTCTAATTTGGATATAACTGGCTTTGCCAAGTTGAAATTTAGTTAGTAAGACTGCAAGTACTGGGGCCTAGGAAATCATACTTTGGTATAGTACAGGAAAAATATTGGAAGCATACATGAACATGTGTGTTGTGGTTCAAATATTTTGGCCAAATATTTATTTTTAAATCAGTTTGAATTTTAGTTCTATTGATCTTGTATTCATTGTCGTACTCTAATACAGAGGGAAAAAGAAATCAAACTGATTTGCAAATTTTGAGTCAAGAAAATATTTCAACCATAACTTGTTGATTTGAACAAGTGCACTCATGAGTGTCTCTCTTTTTTCTTTGTTTGTTTCTTTTTGTACATGAATTGAATTCCACTGAAATTACTCATTTCAGATCAGAAGGTAAGCTTCAGTGTTGTATTTAAATGGCAATAAACATGTACATGTACATTAAGTTTATCCCAACATGTTTGTGTAAAGTAAACTTTATAACTTGTAAACACAAGATAGTCATAGATTTAAACCCTGTTACATGGTATGGTAATGGTACAAAGGATCTTTACCAAAACTGAAATCCACCATCAGAAATCTCACTATTGGAGAGAGAATTTTAAAAATGTTGTTTATACTTTTAAAATTAATTTTCGTCTCATTGAACTGACCCCACAGCTTATTGTTTTCTTAGAGGTAGTAAGTGAATAATTTTTTTTTTTTGTTGTTAAAGGTATCAGAGGAGGAAGAGGGGGAGGTGAAATTTGAATGGCAGCGGGGAGCCCCAAGAGAGGCGTATGTAATCTAATGACCTAAAGCTAGATTGATTTCAAAGAAGTTGATTTAGAGGTGGCATGGCAACCTAATGGTTAGCGCGCTGAAATACAGTGCAAGTGGTTGGGGTTTGAGACCCAGGGAGGGAGGGGGAGTGAGTGGGGGTCATTGTGTCATGTTCATGGGCAGCACAAGTTTCTCTCAGCCGGTCTCTCTCCACCCAGGAATACAACTGGGTAGAGATAAACAGATAGGAAAGCTTAACTAATATTGTTGGGGGAGGGGGTACCCATCCAGAGGGGAAGAAGTGTTACCCTAATTGATATGGTCCCTTAATCTTGCAGAAACTAGGATAAGTCACAACCAGATGAACCACATGGCTCCATTGCTGAATTAATCGGGGTTTTTTTAGATTAACTAGATATTTTTCATACTTTACAATTGTAAACATTTGCTGGGAAGATATACAGCTCTGTAGTTGCAATGATTTTGAAATAATTGAAAATTTCTTCTCTACAAATCCTTTTCCCTCTCTTCTTTCAGATATGCCAAGAGCTTAGGCATTGAGGCACGGGATCAGCCCTTTGGGATTGCTGTAAGCTTTTCATAATTTTTTTTCTCCTTTGTTGGTCTGTCATGTGTGTTAAGTTTCAGAACAAGTTTTATCCCTTTAGCTGCAACACTGTAGTTTTACAATTCCCCAGTTAGATTTGCCACGGACATGTATCTGTTGTACAGTTTTATTTTGAAGTTATTAACTGTTTTGTATTATTTGTTGTCCTGATGTGGTGTAGGTTCGCAATGTCA